ACTGTGTACAGCCCGATCCAAGAGCGATCCGGTGTCATCTACTGTATGGAGGATCACTCCACTTACAGGACTGAGAGCACAGCCCACACCTCTACCTGGTTTCCCGCCTGTAATTTTTGGGGTGGGAGGGAGAGCTTACAGGCCTGGGGAATTGTACACAATTAAAGGAGAGGATAACAATCATTTGTGCTGAGATGAGAGGTTTGTGCAGGAGGGGGGGGGGGGGCTATTTGTGCTGGGAACGGTAATGGGGATGATGGGGGCGGGGATTTGTGCTAGGAGAAGGAATGGGGGGAATTGAGCTATGAGTAGGAGGGGGATTTGGGTAAGGTGGGAGGATTTTCTGTTGGGAAGGGTAATTTGGAGGAGTTTAGCTAGAGGAGAGATTTGAAGGAGTTTGTCCTGGGGGGGGGGGGGGGGGGTTTGTGCTAGGAGGGAGAATTGGGTGGAATTTGTGCTAGGAGAGTTAATTGGGGAAATTTGTGTTAGAAGATAGGATGGGGGGGGGATTTGTGTTAGGAGGGGGGACTTGGGATGGATTAGTGTAAGAGAGAAGGGATTGGGGGGGGGGGGTTGCACTAGGAGGGGGAATTTTGGAGGAATGTGTGCTAGGAGAAGAGGATTGGGAGAGGAGATTGTGTTAGGAGGGGGAGGAATGAGGGGGTTGTGCTTGGAGGGGGGATTTGGGGAGGAACTTGTGCTAGGAAAGGGGATTGGAGGGCATTTGTACTAGGAGGTGAGATTGGGAGGGGTTGTGCTATGAGAGGGGATTTGGGTGGGGAGGAAGGATTTGTGCCGGGAAGGGTAATTTGGAGAAGGTTGTGCTAGGAGGAGGGATGCTAGGAGAGGGGATTTGGGTGGGGAAGAAGGATTTGTGCCGGGAAGAGTAATTTGGAGAGAGTTGTGCTAGGAGGAGGGATGCTAGGAGAGGGGATTTGGGTGGGGAGGAGGGATTTGTGCCGTGAAGGGTAATTTGGAGGGGGTTGTGCTAGAAGGAGGGATGCTAGGAGAGGGTATTTGGGTGGGGAGGATGGATTTGTGCCGTGAAGGGTAATTTGGAGGGGGTTGTGCTAGAAGGAGGGATGCTAGGAGAGGGGATTTGGGTGGGGAGGAAGGATTTGTGCCGGGAAGGGTAATTTGGAGGGGGTTGTGCTAGGAGGAGGGATTCTAGGAGGGATTTGAGTGGGGAAGAAGGATTTGTGCCGGGAAGGGTAATTTGGAGGGGGTTGTGCTAGGAGGATGGATGCTAGGAGAGGGGATTTGGGTGGGGAAAAAGATTTTGTGCCGAGAAGGGTAATTAGGAGGGGGTTGTGCTAGGAGCAGGGATGCTAGGAGAGGAGATTTGGGTGGGGAAGAAATATTTGTGGCGGGAAGGGTAATTTGGGGGGGTTGTGCTAGGAGGAGGGATGCTAGGAGAGGGGATTTGGGTGGGGAAGAAGGTTTTGTGCTGGGAAGGGTAATGTGGAGGGGGTTGTGCTAGGAGGGGGGATGCTAGGAGAGGGGATTTGGGTGGGGAAGAAGATTTTGTGTCGGGAAGGGTACTTTGGAGGGGGTTTGTGCTAGGAGGGGGATGCTAGGAGAGGGGATTTGGGTGGAGAGGAAGGATTTGTGCCAAGAAGGGTAATTTGGAGGGGGTTATGCTAGGAGGAGGAATGCTAGGAGAGGGGATTTGATTGGGGACGAAGGATTTGTGCTGGGAAGAGAAATTTGGAGGGGTTGTGATAGGAGGAGGGATGCTAGGAGAGGGGATTTGGGTGGGGAGGAAGGATTTGTGCCGGGAAGGGTAATTTGGAGGGGGTTGTGCTAGGAGGAGGGATGCTAGGAGAAAGGACTTGGGTGGAGAGGAAGGATTTGGGCCGAGAAGGATAATTTGGAGGGATTTGTGCTAGGAGGAGGGATGCTAGGAGAGGGGGATTTGGGTGGGGAAGAAGGATTTGTGACGAGAAGGGTAATTAGGAGGGGGTTGTGCTAGGAGGAGGGATGCTAGGAGAGCTCTCTCCTGGTTCTCATCCTACCTATCCCGACGCTCCTTCAGCGTCACCTACAATGGCGCCACCTCCCCCTCCCTCCCCCTCTCTGTTGGGGTCCCTCAAGGCTCTGTCCTTGGACCCCTTCTCTTCTCCATCTACACCTCCTCCCTGGGCACACTCATACACTCCCATGGCTTCAATTATCACCTCTATGCTGACGACACCCAAATTTACCTCTCCACCCCTCTCCTCACCCCCACTATCTCCGCCCGCATCACTCACCTCCTAAACGACATCTCAGACTGGATGTCGCTCCATTTCCTCAAGCTTAACCTCTCCAAAACTGAGCTTCTCGTCTTTCCCCCACCCCGCGCCCCCCCCCAGCCTATCCATCACCACCACCAACACCACTATCATTCCCGCCCCGCAAGCCAAAGTCCTTGGCGTCATTCTTGACTCGAACCTTTCCTTCCAACCTCATGTCAAATCACTTACAAACACATGCAGGCTCCATCTCTGCAATATTGCCAAGATACGTACCTTCCTCACCCCAGACACCACCAAACTTCTAGTACACTCCCTCATCATCTCACGCCTTGACTACTGCAACTCTCTTCTCATTGGCCTACCCCAGTGCAGGCTCTCCCCGCTCCAGACCATCCTGAACTCAGCGGCCAGACTCATCCACCTCACCACCCGCTCCACCTCTGCCACCCCCCTCTGCCTCTCCCTCCACTGGCTCCCGATTGCCCAACGCATCAAATTTAAACTTCTAATCTTGACCTACATAGCCGTTCATAACACTGCCCCTGACTACCTCACCAACCTGATCCCCAAGTACCACCCTACCCGTACCCTTCGCTCCTCACAGGACCTCCTTCTATCCTGCTCCCTGGTCTCCTCCTCCCATGCACGACTGCAGGACTTCTCCAGGTCCTCCCCTATCCTCTGGAACTCACTGCCCCAATCCATCCGACTGTCGCCTTCCCTCCCCACATTCAGGCGCTCCCTCGAAACCCATCTCTTCAGGGAAGCCTACCCCACCCTCACCTAACGGCCATCCTCCCTCATTCCTCCCACCACTTCACTCCCCTCAGCCACTTCACTCCCCTCAGCCACTTCATTCCCCTCAGCCACTTCCTATTGTTCCACTACCCCCTCCCTCCTACATTGTAAGCTTGAAAGAGTAGGGCCCTCTTACCCCTCGTACGCTGTCTGTTTTTGTGGTACTGTTTCATGTATTGTCCCCCCTCTATTGTACAGCGCTGAGCAAACCCTTTGGCGCTATATAAACTCGATGTAATAATAATAATGTAATAATAGGAGAGAGGATTTGGGTGGGGAGGAAGGATTTGTGCCGGGAAGGGTAATTTGGAGGGGGTTGTGCTAGGAGAGGGGATTTGAGTTGGGAAGGTTTTTGTGCCGGGAAGGGTAATTTGGAGGGGGTTGTGCTAGGAGCAGGGATGCTAGGAGAGGAGATTTGGGTGGGGAAGAAGGGTTTGTGCCAAGAAGGGTAATTTGGAGGGGGTTGTGCTAGGAGAGTTGATTTGAGTGGGGAAGAAGGTTTTGTGTTGGGAAGGGTCATTTGGAGGGGGTTGTGCTAGGAGGAGGGATGCTAGGAGAGGAGATTTGGGTGGGGAGGATGGATTTGTGGCGGGAAGGGTAATTTGGAGGGGGTTGTGCTAGGAGGAGGGATGCTAGGAGAGGGGATTTGGGTGGGGAGGAAGGATTTGTGCCGGGAAGGGTAATTTGGAGGGGGTTGTTCTAGGAGGAGGGACTTTGAGATTGCTTGCAGGTTTTCACATTTATATCATTTGTGTTTTCTACAGGTGAATTTATTTTTTTTTGGGGGGGGGGGGGGGTTGGGTGTGAGTAGCTGGTCTTGCCTAGGGCGCAAAACTGTCTAGCACAGGCCCTGGATTTAGAACATCCAACCAGATCACTGCTCCAGGGGCCCGAGGAGACCAAAGAGATATCACGTTTCTCCCGGCTTCCTCCTCCAGTTGCATTGCCACTACAGATGAGCGCCACCTGCAGACCAGACTGTAGACTGCACCTGCCTACACAGTTATTCTCTACCCATAAATATACTTTTTTATTGACTTCATATGCCTCCATCACTGGTTTTATACTGTTTTATGGCATTACAATGCACATTGCATTGCTCTATTTCAGGTTTATGATGGAAGTCTATCTTACAGACATCATTTGTACTGAGTGGAATGAAGGCTACATTTTCACATCCTCCTTGTACTGCAAGTCACCGTATTATTCTTTGTACTTGCTGTTTTCACCTTTTTTTATTATTGTTAAAAAAATCTTGAAAACCTTGAGGAACTTTGTTCTTTTTCAATAAAAAAAATACCTTAATGGAAACAAAAATGTCATCCAGCCAGGGTTTTCATCTACTTTAGGAGGAAACAGATGATAATACATTTTTTTTTTTCCCCCAGAAAAGGCTGAAATATATATTTATCTCATGGACCGACGTCCGTCAAACTATTGCGGAAGCTAGGCTTGAATCAACCATTTTTATTGGGTTATTATAGTCGGATAAATCTGGTATGAGGCCACCGCAGGACAACCTGTGGAAGACAAAGGAGGAGGAACCTTTGGATGAATTATTGCCGATCTAACAAACTTCTGCTGAACGTCATTTACAAATATATAAAAGACTCTAAATTATTCAGCAGCATAAAATGCTCCGTCCTTAAGAGGAAAGACTATGGGATTCGAAGAACTGACTCATCACAATGTAATTACGGAGCATTTTATCTGCGGATGCTTTGAACTGCAATCCCCGATGACCTTGAGGTTCTTTTCCATTTCTTCCTGAACTTCAATAAAACTTCAATCTGCATATGCATCTTACAAAAAAAAATAAAAAATAAATCCCGGAAGACGGATGAGCTTTTTACACCGTATTCTTTTTTTTTTTTTTTAAATCTTTAACAATTTGCTGACAAATGGCAACATCCCTACTTGTGAGGTTTTTTTTTTTTTTTTAATCTGACCTCCGGCCTCCCCTTCAGTCTTGCAAAGGTGTATCGGATCCTCCCCTTCAGTCTTGCAAAGTTGTACTGGCTCCTCCCATTCAGTCTTGCAAAGGTGTACCGGCTCCTCCCCTTCAGCCTTGCACAGGTGTACTGGCTCCTCCCCTTCAGTCTTGCAAAGGTGTACCGGATCCTCCCCTTCGGTCTTGCAAAGTTGTACTGGCTCCTCCCCTTCAGTCTTGCAAAGGGTGTACCGGCTCCTCCCCTTCAGTCTTGCACAGGTGTACTGGCTCCTCCCCTTCAGTCTTGCACAGTTGTACCGGATCCTCCCCTTCGGTCTTGCACAGTTGTACTGGATCCTCCCCTTCAGTTTTGCACCGTTGTAACGGCTCCTCCCTTTCAGTCTTGCAAAGGTTGTACCGGCTCCTCCCCTTCAGTCTTGCACAGGTGTACTGGCTCCTCCCCTTCAGTCTTGCAAAGGTGTTGTACCTGCTCCTCCCATTCAGCCTTGCACAGGTGTACCGGATCCTCCCCTTCAGTCTTGCACAGGTATTTGTATCCTCCTCTTCAGTCTTGCATAGTTGTAATGGATCCTCCCCTTCAGTCTTGCACAGGTGTACCGGCTCCTCCCCTTCAGTCTTGCACAGTTGTACCGGCTCCTCCCCTTCAGTCTTGCACAGGTGTACCGGCTCCTCCCCTTTAGTATTGCACAGTTGTATCGGCTCCTTCCCTTTAGGCTTGCTGAGTTGTACCGGCTCCTCCCTTTCAGTCTTACACAGGTGTACCGGCTCCTCCCCTTCAGTCTTGCACAGTTGTACCGGCTCCTCCCCTTCAGTCTTGCACAGTTGTACCGGCTCCTCCCCTTCAGTCTTGCACAGTTGTACCGGCTCCTCCCTTCAGTCTTGCACAGTTGTATCGGCTCCTCCCCTTCAGTCTTGCACAGTTGTACTGGCTCCTCCCCTTTAGTATTGCACAGTTGTATCGGCTCCTCCCCTTTAGTCTTGCTGAGTTGTACCGGCTCCTCCCCTTCAGTCTTACACAGGTGTACCGGCCCCTCCCCTTCAGTTTTGCACAGGTGTATCAGCTCCGCTCCTGGACTGAATTGGCTTACTCTGATTTCACCGCACACTGTGAGCACCTCAGAAGAAGCTGCAGCAAGTCAGATAGGTCTCCGCCTCATTTCCTGGCTGGAGGACGTCCAGCATCATCTTGCCCTTGATTGGCTGGTATATAGAATTTTTTTTTAATCTGACCTCTGGCCTCACCTTCAGTCTTGCACAGTTTTACCGAATACTCCCCTTCAGTCTTGCACAGGTGTACCGGCTCCTCCCCTTCAGTTTTGCACAGTTGTACTGGCTCCTCCCCTTCAGTCTTGCACAGGTGTACCGTCTCCTCCCCTTTAGTCTTGCCCAGTTGTACCGGCCCCTCCCCTTCAGTCTTGCCCAGTTGTACTGGCTCCTCCCCTTCACTCTTGCCCAGTTGTACTGGCTCCTCCCCTTCAGTCTTGTACAGGACTGAAATGGTATACTCTGATGTCACTGCACACTGTGAGCTTCTCACAATGTGCATTAGAAGCTGCAGCAAGTCAGATCGGTCTCCGCTTACAATCTAAGAGGGAGGGTCTAGTGGTACAAAAGGTAGTAACTGTGGGGGATGGACTGGTTGGAAGAGTAGAAGATTCCATTATTAGCTGAAGGCAGGATAGGCTTCCCTGAAGAGAGAGGTTTTTGGAGATCACCTAAAAGTGAGCAGAGTAGGTGATAGTGTGATAAATTGGGGTAGAGAGTTCCAGAGGATGGGGGAAGCTCTGGAGAAATCCTGGAGAGAAGCATGGGAGGAGGAGACAAGGAAACTAGAGAGCAGGAGGTTGTGCAAGGAGCGGAGAGGACGGTTTGGGTGATATTTGGAGACAAGATTGGTGATGTAATTTTGGTCAGAGTTATAAATGGCTTTATATGTTATTGTTAATGTTTTAAATGTAATCCTTTGGGCAATGGGAAGCCAGTGGAGGGATTGGCAGAGAGGGATGGAGGACACTGAGTGGAGGCCAGTGGAGGGATTAGCAGAGAGGGATGGAGGACACTGAGTGGAGGCCAGTGGAGGGATTGGCAGAGGGGGGTGGAGGACACTGAGTGGAGGCCAGTGGAGGGATTGGCAGAGAGGGGTGGAGGACATTGAGTGGAGGCCAGTGGAGGGATTGGCAGAGAGGGATGGAGGACACTGAGTGGAGGTCAGTGGAGGGATTGGCAGAGGGGGGTGGAGGACACTGAGTGGAGGCCAGTGGAGGGATTGGCAGAGAGGGGTGGAGGACACTGAGTGGAGGCCAGTGGAGGGATTGGCAGAGAGGGGTGGAGGACACTGAATGGAGGACAGTGGAAGGATTGGCAGAGAGGGGTGGAATACACTGAATGGTGGACAGTGGAGGGATAGGCAGAGAGGGGTGGAGGACACTGAATGGAAGCCAGTGGAGGGATTGGCAGAGAGGGATGGAGGACACTGAATTGAGGCCAGTGGAGGGATTGGCAGAGAGGGATGGGGGACACTGAATTGAGGCCAGTGGAGGGATTGGCAGAGAGGGGCAGAGGGCACTGAATTGAGGCCAGTGGAGGGATTGGCAGAGAGGGGCAGAGGGCACTGAGCGGAGGCCAGTGGAGGGATTAGCTGAGCGGAGGCCAGTGGAGGGATTAGCAGAGAGGGATAGAGGACAATGAATGGAGGCCAGTGGAGGGATTGGCAGGGAGGGGTGACAGACTGCTAACTCAAAATGAATAAACGAGGCTCTACCATCTATGTCCATGACCCAGGGCTGAAGAGAGGGTCACATGACCCAATAGGCCGCTTTCAGACCATGTGACCAAGAATCAGATTTTTTTCCCCCAGCCCTACATCCCAACCAATTATCTCATCTAGTACAGCCTTAAGAAAAATTCCCATTTTGGCCGCCAACAGTCCTTTGTTGGGGGATTGCATCTATCCTTAAGAATCATTTCATTTTAATGTTGGCTTCCTGGCTCCTCTATCTGGTGGCATATTGTAGGAAAGGAGATTTCTGCTGCCGGTTGGAGGCAGTCCAGTCTATTTCAGATCGGTCCAGGAACACCGCTGACTTTGGCCGAGTCTCTCGATGTTTATTTCCACACATTATTGGAGGTAAAAGAATTATCTTGCAAAACTCTTTCTTTTGGTAAGCGAACGCCCGTGTTTACTGAAAAACATAATTTCGCATCGGCCCATGCGGTCCCTCGAGACGTAGAGTTTGGGAAATTTAGATAGTGAAGGTTTCTATACTATTATACCTAACGCAGCAATTTCCCTGGAAAGGAAGCACTTTAGGTGCTCTACAATCATCGGAAAATCAGAGTGAGCCGAAAATGATTTCTACACTTACGAGGATATAGAACCTCAGAATCCCATAATTTCCCTGTTTGTTATTTTACGGAACACTTCGGAAGACCTCTGCTGTGCCTGAAATGCCTCTTGTGTAATGACCGTCCTGCCTGAACCTCACCGGGAGAAAACATCTCATTGCTGAAGGCTTCTCCCTGCAAACGTTTCATCAGAATGTGATGCGGCTTCCTTTATAGGCTTCAGCACTCGGGAACGGGCAGGGGTGTATTTACCACAAGGCAAACAAGGCACTTGCCTAGGGTGGCATTTTTCAGGGGTGCAGCCAGGGGCAAACTGACAACTCATGGGACCCCCAGGCAATAGGGGATCATGGGGCCCCTGTGTCCTTGCCCAAACTCAAAAAAACCTATGAAAAAGGTACCAGGGGCATCTCATGGGGCCCCCTACTGACCCCGGGCCCTCGGGCAGTGCCCAAGTTTCCAAATGGTCAGTCCACCCCTGGGTGCAGCACCTCCTCCCCCCAGAAGAAGAAATGGAAGAAGGGACACATGTGCCATGGGAACCAGGTGGGACCCGAGAGAGGCTGTGGGCTGCTTGATGGTGTATGTAGAGCATGACTCTTTCCCGGGGATGTCCGAAGCTGTGAAGATGGGTGTCTGTCTCTCTATCTCCGGGGGGGTAGTGGAAGGGTCTCCCAGATGGGAGGCAGGGTTGTTGTTGGTCAATGTTGGGCTCTCTCTGCGGGAGGGAGAGAGGGGGGGTGGTGTTGGTTGGTGTCCGTGGGGGCAGACGATTTTTGTGTTGCCTAGGGCAGCACAAAATGTAAATACGCTACTGGAAACGGCGACCACTGATCTGTGTCTTCACACCTACCTTCGGGGCTGGTTCCTTAGGGCTTGGGCTTATCGGCTTGAAGGGGGCTCAAAAAAGGCAGGACTGGCAACCTGAGGTAGTTTATAGATCATGGGGAGGGGGGGGGGCACACTTTGGCCGTTTTAGGACTTGGACACTAAAGGACTGCTTACTGTCCTTCTCCATATTATTATAAGATCAGAACATGTCTACTTAGTCTTCTTCCTCTAACTCTCCTCTCCTGAAATACTCTGCACTGCTGGAGGACTCTGCTCCTTCCTCTATAACTCTCCTCTCCTGAAATACTCTGCACTGCTGGAGGACTCCGCTCCTTCCTCTATAACTCCTCTCCTGAAATACTCTGCACTGCTGGAGGACTCTGCTCCTTCCTCTATAACTCTCCTCTCCTGAAATACTCTGCACTGCTGGAGGACTCCGCTCCTTCCTCTATAACTCTCCTCTCCTGAAATACTCTGCACTGCTGGAGGACTCCTCTCCTTCCTCTATAACTCTCCTCTCCTGAAATACTCTGCCCTGCTGGCTGGGACTCCGCTCCTTCCTCTATAACTCTCCTCTCCTGAAATACTCTGCACTGCTGGAGGACTCCTCTCCTTCCTCTATAACTCTCCTCTCCTGAAATACTCTGCCCTGCTGGAGGACTCCGCTCCTTCCTCTATAACTCTCCTCTCCTGAAATACTCTGCGCTCAGTAGTAGATACTCAGTAGTATCTCCCAGCTCTGCTGATTCCCCGCTCAGTAGTACCCCTAGATCTGCTGATCCCCCCGCTCAGTAGTACCCCCAGCTCTGCTGATCCCTCACTCAGTAGTAACTCTCAGCTCTGCTGATGCCCCACTTAATAGTACCCCCAGATCTGCTGATCCCCCACTCAGTAGTAGCCCCAGCTTTGCTGATCCCCACTCAGTTGTAACCCCCAGGTCTGCAGATCCCTACTCAGTGGTAACCTCCAGCATTGCTGATCCTCTGCTTGGCTAATGTTCCTTTTTCTCCAGTCTCCGCTCACCTCCCACTATATTGCTGCCATGATGAGCTCCCATCTGCTAGTCTCACCTGCTCCAGTCCCCCAGCTCTGCTGATCCTCCACTGCTCAGTCCTTGCTCTCCAGTCCCTGCTCACCTTCTACTATAGCATGTGTAGCATCTGCTACCAGCTCTGCTCCGGTCCGGACCCCGCTCACCTTCTTGCTGCTCCACACTGTACACCAGATGTGACATTGTCACCCAACTCTCCCAGAATATTTACACCTGAACTGGAAGTGACTGCTGGTGAAGTCTTTATGGTTCATTTGTTGGTGTCCCAGTGCATCCTTGGATGTCTCATACCTGCAATACCTCCAAACAAAAAGCAAATCTGACTCTGAATAAAAGCCCCTCAAAAGTTTTAGGTGCAGTTAGCAAGCGTTGACATAGACTTCTGCGGAGGCTTTGGAGATGCTTTGAAGCACCAAGTAAGCGACATCACAAATAATTTTTAGAGCAAAGCAAACACAACAGTGTGAACAAGACTGTAACCATTTTAATTAGTGAAGGAGGCTTCAATTGCGTTTCAGAGTGTTTTAAAAAAAAAAAGAGTGTCTAATGCCACATTTTGAAGTGTAAGGGAGACCTTACTGAAGTGCAGCAAAGAGAAATCAGGTCCCTTGCAAAGACAG